AAATCAGTCAACCAAAAAAAATATTGATTAATTTTTTTTTGTGTGTGTTTATTTTATAAATAATAATAATTAAATTTTACAACATTCCTTAATTTGCATTAAAAAACATTTTTTAATAATAATAATAATAATAATTAAAGGTACGAACATGATAAATTTTTATTTTTTGAATGCAGTGAAAAGTAGAACACAAAATGTTTTTAACTATTTATTAAAATATATTACCAATGTAAATATATATACATATATGTGTGTGTGTACATAAACGATATTGAATGGATGATTTAATTGATTTATCCACCATTTTTTATTTTATTGTAAATTTTTTTTTGTATGTTTTTACAAAGAAACTACAAAAATTTCATAAAAGTAACAATATAAAATTAATTAATTTTTGGGCGAATATTATTTGTAAAAAAAAAAAAAATAAATTATTAATTTGTAATCATTTTTTATTTCAAAATTATTTTTATGTATATAACTGATATTTAAAATTATACAAGAAACATCATCATTATTATTATTATTATTAATTAAATTGTTTTAATTAACACGACTTGCAATTAATAGCAGGGGAAAAAAAAAATGGGTAACAATAAAAAATTATTTAATTATAAGATATTAATGAAAAAAAAAAAAAAAATACAAATAAATTACATCATTTTTACGGGGGGGGGGAGGAAGGGGAGACGGAGAGAGGGGGGAAAGGGTTTAACCTCCTACGATTTGAGGTAGTTCATTATTTATTTATATATATTTAATTAAATATTTTTTTTATTATGTTACCATTCAAATTTTTTTTTTTTTCACTGCATTCAATAATTATAATTATTTCATGTAAATAAAAAAAATAACAATAATAATAATAATAATAATAATAATAATAATATTAGGCCCAAAAATTAAATTAAATTAAATATACATGTACAACTTTAATAAAAAAAAAACTAAAAAAATTATTTAAATATCAAAACCGAAATAATTCAAATCGCGATCGAGGGGACGCAGGGGCGGGAGGAGGGGAGAAAAAACAAAATTAATTACTTTGAAATAATAAAAATAAAAATATTTAAATATATATATATATAACAAAATACAAAAAAAACAGTGCCGAATTCGGTTACGCCCAAAAAAATAATAATAATCGTTTGTTTTTTTTTTTTATTTCGGTGGGCTCAAAAATAAAAATTTTTTTTATTTTTTTTTAAATAATTTTTTTCTCTTTTTTTTTTTTAATTTTATTTTTCATTTTATTTTAATATGTGCACTCTTATCCGATTCGAAAAAATAATAATAATAATAGTAATAATAAAACTTTGGCAATTTTATTAATAATAATAATAATAATAATAATAATAATAGAAGTGTAGTAAAAAAAATAATAATATTTTTACAATTAAATAATTATTATTATCATATAAATACCATTTATTAACATTGTTTTTATTATTCTTCACTTTTTCTTTATAAAATGAAGTATAAATAATCGTTTTTTTTTCGATATTTTTCGATTATCGATTATATCTATATATCGATTTTAATATTTAAAAAAAAAAACCACCGCACATTTTTTTTTTTGTAATTTTAATTTTTTTAAAATTTTATTTTCACATTTCATTATTCGAATCAATTTTGTTTTTTTTATTACGTTTTTTCATCTTCTTCTTTCTCATCATCTTCATCATCTTCTCTTTCATCTTCTTTTAATATAATTGTGTCCTTTTTTTTTTTTTTTTTTAATTAACCATTAATATTACAAATATCACAGGTTAAACACTAAATAATAATGTCACTAATTTTACAAAAACTTTTTTTTTATTTGCGGCAGTTTTCTTTCTTTCTTTCTTTCTTTCTTTCTTTCTTTTATTAATTTAAAGTCATTTACATTATTTATTTATTTATTTATTTTTTATCATTCGAGTAAATTAATAATAATAATAATAATAATAAAACTTAAAAATTTTTTTTTTTAATGTTTTACTTAATTATTTAATTATTTATTTGTTCGTAAAAAATCGTTAAAAATCGATTTTATTCATTTCATCATCATCATTATCATCTTATTGCTTTATTATCATTATTATTATTATTATTATTATTATTAAAACATTTACAATTCATTATTATTATTTAAATTAAAAAAACAATTATTTTATCAATACTATCATCAAAATTGTATTTTTTATTTATTTATTTATTTATCATACCTTCGATGAATAAAAATTAATAATTTTTTTTATTAAAAAAAAAACTAAATAATAATAATAATAATAATAATAATAAATTATTTATTTTTTTTTAGCCCATAAATTATTTTTTACGGAGAAGTTTTTAATTTTTATTAAAAAAAAAAAAAAAAATTAATGTTCTAGAACTTTAATCAAGTACACAAAACTTCTCCATTTACAAATAAATAAATAAATAAAATGACAAAAAAATTATTTATTTATTTT